ACTTCAATGAACTGATGAAGTGGAGAGTAGGAGATTTAAGACCCTCAATGCAAAAAAAATGAACTTCAATGCATCTATTAGGGAGAGTAGGAGATTTCAGACCCCTGGTATTGGATCCTGTCCAATGAACTGATGAAACGGTAATTGTAAATAAATAGAAGACTGCAGATGGTGTTTTTTGAATCTTCTGAATAACAGCAGCCAATTATTGGCTCTGTTGGCTTGATCTACCATAATTTTTTAAGGAAGCAGTAATAAGAATTGTGAATCATATCCCATCATCCTAGACATTGTAATCCTCCATGATCAAGTCACACAAGTTCATATAGAGTTGGCATCTATGAATGACCTGAAACTGGATTACCCCTGCTGTTAAGATCGGTAGTCCACAAGTATAACAATAATATACTTGTGAATCAGGGTTAGTACCCTTGGTTTATGTCAATACATTTTATGCATAAGAGGTTGTACATTGTTATCAAGAAGTGGAACCGTATTTTTTCATTTGGCTTTTTTGCCCTTAGATGACATCTAAAGTTTTAACGTCGTTAACTAAGTGTTAAAGTTAATAGCTTCACTTCTACTTCATCACTGGTCAGACCAAATAAACGAGAGAGAAAATCAGTTTAAAAGCTTCAATGGATGTTTCCTCTATGCGCTCTATAAATGCCCCTTCGTATTTCGGTGGTGATGAAGCGAGTTCTGTCGCCTAAAGATGAAACTTCAGCTCTTCTTCATCGACCCTGTGGTCCGTGGAGAACTGTCGCGAAATTCCCGGTTTCAACTGCGCTGTCACATCCATTTTGCTAACTGCTTCCCTCGCAATTGCATAAACACAATCTCCACCAAATAGAAAAAGGGGATCAAATTGCTTCTTCCTTTTCCTTTGAAAAAAGATCGATCGAGAGCTATGACGGAGAGCTCTCAATGGCGAGCAATGACATGGAAAAAGATGAATTTGGAGAGATATGGAGATGTAATGTATTCTTCCATAGAGTTGCCCAGAAAAAAGTGTTAAGCTAGGATGCTAAATTAACGTGTTAATTATGGTACATTCCTTTTAACTTTTGTTATTTCAGTAAACAACAAAATCCGTTTTCTTTTTGTTTGAATCAAAGCAATGAAATCTGAATTTTAGTTTATAGGGGAGTATACTTTTTACACTTCTAATCAGATTGTGTTTTCTTTATTTGAAATTTAAACAACATGGGTGTCATATAAAACTTCATTAAAAGAAATGTTGTTGCATTACACTATTCATAGATTTTGAGAGCCCGTTTGGGTAACACTGTTATTCGGCTTATCAGCCAACTTTTTCACCAAACACGTGACTTTTGATTCCGCGCGCTTAAATTTGTAATAATTAGAAAAAGTAAGGTTGGAGTTACTTTTCTGGCTGTTTCGGCTCAAACTACTGTAGAGGACCATTTTAGCTATTTTTACATATAATTTTCTTTATTTTATGGCTAAAGGGTCAAATAGACCATTGAACTAACTTAAAAAGTGCTAAAATATATTTTGAATTTGATTTTTTTCATAAATCAGCAGAATCAGTCAATATAGTCACTTAAGCCAGAACTTCATAAATTTCAGCAGAATCAGCCAATTCAGCGTTACCAAACAGGCTCTGAATCAGATCATGGAATTAGACAAATAATAATAATTAAAATACGACATAAGATTTTGATGATATTTACTGTTGTAAGTCATATTCCATTCCCCCAAATCACTTAATTTATTTCCTTTTGCAATATGGGTAGGTTTATCGGATATTTCTTTCTCTACTACACAAATCTCAACCATAAAGTTACTACATCCGTCCCAGAAAATGCTTCCCCGTTTGACTTGGATCAGAGTTTAAGAAAGTGAGAATAAAGTGGAAACGTAAAGTTGTGGTTGAGTAAGAAAAAGCAAAATGAGTGATAGCCACACAAACCTTTCTAAAAGGGAATGAGAAGAAATTTTTGGGATGTCCGAAAAAGGTAAGTGTGAAGAATTTCCATAGACGGATGAAGTATTACTTTATTCTTTTAAATGCAAGTCAAACTTCACCAAATTTTATGGGACGGGTGGAGTCTATTAAAACATAAAATATATGCAAATCATATAATCAAATATTTCCCACACAATAATTGGTTGACATGGAAAATAAGTGTTCCAATATTTTTTAAAATATACAAGTATATGATATTTCATTAACTATTTACATAACTCTCATAACAATTTCGCATATTTTTTTTACAAAACACAAAGTTATTTTAATATTGGGCAAACACTATAACGTCTTGCGTGAGGAAACGCTAGTGATAACATCTAAATAATACGAAGTAAAGAATAACAATGGTTAGTCTTGAGTATGCCGTTGTCCATGCCTTAACATTGATGTAGCAAATATTGAAACAGTGTTGCAAATGTTGCTACTAGCAAATGTTGCTACTAGCAACATTTGCAACACTGTTTCAACATTTTTTGGAACACTTTTATCAAACCAATTCTTCTTCGATTGTTTTGATGTCACTTTAAAATTGATGTATTTTAACCATGTTTTAATGTAGGTGAATGCTATGCTATTTCACAAGTAATAATACGATATTTATAATTTTGTGACTATTTCATTTTATTATTTCATTATTTCATTATTTATTTACACTAAAACTGTTTATTTGTAATTTTCTATTGATTATGTGAATGTGGTATTGAGGTTAGGGAAATTATTGTTGTATACGGAGTATAAAATTTGTACACTCCAGAAAATTACTGAATTTTAAACGAATTATCTATTATTCTATTACACATTTACACATATAAGTAGTGCAAAATTTCTATTGTTACACAAAATCCATACACACACATACACACTATAAATAATCCAAAAAAAAATTACCCCCCTTTCCCCACCTCAGCCAATTCCACACGTGCACACATCCAAAAAATCTCTCCCGCTCCCAAAAAAATCTCCCGCATCCCACCTGCCCCTTCGCCCATCACACTTCCCAAACCCCGTCGCCAACCTTCTCCCTTCGACGAAGGGTTCCTCGCCGGCGCCAACCATCCACGAACTGTCGCCGCCGCTAACCATCCACGAACCCTCGACGCCGCTAACCATCCACGAACCCTCGTCGCCGCTAACCCTCCACCCTCGTCGCCACTAACCCTCCACGCACAGTCGTCGCCACGAACCCTCCTCCCGCCAACCTCCGTTTTCAGTTGACAATGGTCCGAACCCCGCTATCAACCATGGCTGAAAGGTATGTATCCTTGTCCTTAGTTTTTGATTTTTTTTACACTTTTAGGCTATTTGATGATATTAAATTGGATTTTGAAGAATATGTATTGTCTGTGTAAGGTTGATTTTATGCTTCTATGATTGTCTGTATCTGTGTACATATGTCTGTGTGCCTCTTAGGTAAGTCTGTACTTGTACACAATGACCAATTGGCTCTCTGGCTGAGTTTGTCTGTGAAGAATTATATGTGTCTGTAATCCTCCACATATGTCTGTGTGCATAATATTAATGTCTGTACTTGTACACAACGATATAAGAGTAAAACAGGTTTTGTTGAAGGAAAGTTTTTAAAAAAGAATTCACAGCCAGCCATACTTACCTTCAACTCTCTAGTCATAATCAAGAAAAAAAGTGGTGTTGTCTTTTTTCCCACTTAATACCATCTAATTGCATTTATGTTGAGCTTAACCCCACTTAATCCTAATCTAAAAGCTAGATTCCACTTAAAACCATCTAGTATAGCAGCCAACATGTAACTGATTATATACACTTGTACTTATATACATACACTAGATAGGCAAAAAAACTTGGTATGTCTGTATAGCAGTTAGCATCTAACTTTTAGGATTGACTTCATTAGAGTACTCAGCCCAATAAATAACTGGGGGTACGGCTGTATCTAACTCAATACTTGTCTGTGTGACTTAACATATGTCTGTTTGCTTATGACTTATTCCTTGCAATCACAGGGCACTTGAACTTAAGATTCCATTGAGCAAGCATTTCCCTGCACAGTATTCTATGTGTTCTGACTACAAATGTGCGAGGAAGTGCATTACCGACATGTTGTCTAAGAAAGAATTGTCAACATTCCGGAACACACCGTGGGGTCACCTTTTGGATATACCGGACATTCAGTTTTGTGCCCAAATTGTGCACATGTTGCTCTTACGCCTTGTGAAGCAACAGCCTGAAGATGAGCTCTGGTTCAATGTGGAGGGTAAAATTGTAGAATTCACATACAATGATTTCTGCCACATTACCGGATTACCACTGGCAGCCCCCAGACCTGTCGTGGCCGAAGAAGTTGAAGAAAATTCTGATGAACAGGCTGAAGAAGTGGAAGAACCTGGGGAGGTTGCTACCACATACTTTAAAGGATCTTTGGATATCACTTACTTGCAGTTGAAGGAGAGGGTTCAAATGGTGCGTCCTATTAGAAAAGGCAGAGCGATGCTAGGTGTGAAGCTTGCATCCTTGTACATGATTGAGAACGTATTGCTCGGAAGAGACAGGTCAACAAGGATTAGCAGGAGGTCTATTCAGCTGGTAAATGACTTTGAGGAGTTCAAGAAGGAGCCGTGGTCCAGAGACGCCTACCATTCGCTGGTAACCGATTTAAAGAAGCTTCTTGATGGCCAGGAACAGAAGTTTTTCGACAATAAAGCTAACAACCCTGATTACAAAAATGCAAAGTTCTCGGTCTACGGTTTCCCATTGGTCCTACAGGTATGATTCATATTTACTTTGTATCATTTTTTACTGTAATCTACAAGTATTGTCTGCCACAGACAATATTTGACCTTCCCAGACATTTCTATTCATGTTACACACACTTATTATCCTTCCCAAACAGCATATAATAGCTCACAGACAAAAGTGTCCTTCCCAGACATGTTTTTGATTGCTCACAAAAAATACATTTCCTTCCCAGATATGTTTATGATCTGTGTTCCTGAATATTTCTTTGTTAACTTATACTTCTTTTATTTAGGTGTGGGCATATGAAAAGTTACCTAATTTTGGGGAACATTTTGGCACACGTGTTGGTAATCATGAAGTCCCAATATTGAATTGGTCATGTCATGGGAAATTTCGGGCCTCTACAATACGGAATATTTGCTTTGCTAATGTGAAGTCTTCTTTCTTTATCATTCCTATTATAATTGTCCCCTAATATACTTCGTATATATTTATAATACTAAGTCATGTTTTTGTTTTCAAAGGAGGTGCCTACCCCCCCTTCTTCCGATAATGAAGATGAAGATGAAGACAATCTTGAAGTACAAACAAGGGAAAGGGTGCAACAAATGTGTGTGAACATTGAAGAAATCAAAACAAGTCTTCAAAGGCTGGAGAAAAGGGTGGATGAGCAGCTTGGTGGAGTAAAAGACCTGCTGCTTCAGGTTATTGATAAAGTCAACATTGCTTTAAAGGAAAAGGTATAAATTGTTATGATATGTCTGTGTTGTGATTTTCTGTTGTCTGTATTAAGTAAATTCTTGTTCGTATGTATTCTTACTGTATACTTTGCTGTTGGTTTGTAAGGGGGATCCATCTGCCCCAAGTCATGATGAAAAAGACACGGAAGTTTGTGCACCACATGGTGAAGATCAAAATATGTCTACACATGGTGTTGACAATGCTGGGACCGTGGTATGTAGTTTTCTACCTTACGGGTTTTCATTTTATACTATGAGGAAAAGGTATAACATTTAATTGTCTGTGTGCTATTTTATGTGTCTGTATAAATAATGGTTAGGGTGAAGGAGATAATTCTGTTCCTGTTATTCCTGAAGATCAGAATATGTTTACTGAGCCTATTGCAACTGAGGTATGTTTTTGGATAATCTTGGGTTTGGGTTTTAATAATTGCAAATTAAGTTGTTCTAGACCAACTAAAAAAATGTTATTGTCGTGTGGAGTTTATAGTGTCTGTATTTAGCAAAGTTTTGTCTGTATAACTCTTTCGTGTTGTCTGTGTCAATGTGATATATGACTGAGATATGTCTGTGATTTACCAATTGTTAGGCTGAAGAAGATAACGCCAACGATGTTGTTGGTGAACAACAAAAGGGACTACAAACTGATCCTGTAATGAATGTAGTGGCTGAGGTATCTTCAATGATACATTCATATCATTTATTCTTTCAAAAAAATTTGTTGGTCATGATTGTTTTGGGTAATATAACTTTTCCTTTATTTCAAAGTTGAAGGAGGGTACTCTTGAAGAACACATGTATGAGGAGTGTCCCACTCCCACAGATCTTTTGATCTCCTTGAATGAGGTTCACATTGTCATTTGTAAAATTTGTTTATATTCACAGACAGTATGTATATCACACAAACATTATACATGACGTGCACAGGCATAGTAAACTTGTCCTCACAGACATTTATTTGTGTGTGCGTATATATGATCCCTAGTTTTTAATGTTTTGTGCAGGTGGGAGATGACTCTGCTTTGACACCCCATGCTCCTTTTGCAAACTTGGATTGGGACCTTGGTGATGAAGTTGAAACCGGCGGTGTAGACATGATGGCCCTCGAAGAAGCTACTATGAAAGAAGTGAGGAAGAGAAAGAGGTTGCCATCAAAGTACATTTGCAGCCCATTCATAGCTCCCGCCGCAAAGAGGCCTAAGGTTGGAGGCACCAATAACCGAGCTCTACCACAACAAAGTGATGAAGAATGTCAATCCTTCAAGGCATGGGTGGAGGAAGAATGTTCAATTATATCTTAACTACTTTATTGCATGTGCAGGTGTTCATGCCATTGCACAATGATGGAAAACACTGGGTGCTGTCTGAAATTGACCTTGTCAATAGAATCGTACGGGTATACGATTCTATGAAGACCCGTAGGTTAGTTGGATCTGTGAGGCTGTTGTGTTTGAGACTTCCACACCTGTTTCGAGTCATAAAATGCAACCCTGCTCTAAGCGCCACAGCAAATTCAAAGCCTTGGAAAGCGGAGGCAGTGGACGATGTTCCACAACAGCACCCCGGGTACATTCATGTGCTGTGGATATTATTTTGTCTGTACACAAATATAGTTTGTCTGTGCATGTAAATGTAATGTCTGTATTAATTATTGTGTGTCCAGGTCCGGTGTTTGCGGCGTCATGGTTATGGCCTTTGCCGAAGCACTGTTGCAGAAGTTGCCATTGCTGCCCGAGTGTGCGTATGAGAACATGGCGGCGAAAAGATGTGAATTCGCAATGAGGTTGTGGAGTTTGAGGAAGCGATCGATTTAGACATAATTATTGGAGGATGTGTTTGGGTGTACAACATTTATTTGACATTACTGTATACATATTATTATGCTCAATTTTTGGCTGCATGAATTTGGTTGTTAAATGTAGGAGGTTGTACAGTGTTACACTATCAATGTTGTACAATGTCCTAGAATGTACTCCCAAGGATCACTAGAATTGGTGGCATACACTTACTTTTGGTTTTTGTGGCAACATATATATATACGAAGGATGCTTTTGCTTGTGAAGAAGAAAAACTTTGTGTATGCTGTTATACGACTTTGTCTGTGATTTGTGTGTTGTTATATGTGATTAATAACTACTTTATGTAATTAATAACGACTATGTTCAATGTTTAGAGAAAATTGGTATCATTTCGCCAAAAATAAATAACAGTTGAAATTTGTATAAGAGAGGGCAATAAAATAAATCACGATTTTTATAAATTATTACTGACTTTATAATTTGAATATTTCTAATCTAACATGTTAATAAATAAAAGTAATCCAAAGTAGATAAGTGAGTAATCCAATTGAAGGTTGAGGCTTCAATTGATTTTTTGACCTAGTAGATCTGCTACCGGCATGAGAGCACTCTAGTAATACTCCAACTATATCTACTCCATTTTTGTGTTTCGTGGTACTCCTAGTTCTTACGGGAAATCCTAAACGCTTCCCATATGCCTTGTAGAAATCATACACCGCTTCTTTGCTATCAAATTGCATACCGACATCCGGAGCTTGTATAGAACCATCATCACTCTCATTTTGCTTAATTGCTCCATCTGATCGACATTCACGTAATTCAACGATTAAACAATGTGTCCATGTCAACATGCAATGAGGTAAGTATATTTAAGCACACAGGCAGAGGTATATTTATGCACAGACAGAAGCATATACACACACAAACAAAGGAATATTGAGACACAGACATTACAAACAGAAATGTACTTACACAGTGGTATATTTACGCACAGACATAAGTATATTTACTCACAGACAAAAGTATATATGTACACAGACATTTAAACTCAATGTACACAGACATAATGAAACTTATAATATTTTGAACACATAATTTATATACACTTTACGCACAGACATAAGTATATTTACTAACAGACAATTTATATACACTACACAAACACAAATAATTGTCTGTGAAGAACAAATATATATTTAAGTTCAAAGCCAATGAAACCAACACCACAAACTCATACCAAGCTCAGGGACGTCGTCCATGGCCGGTTCTCCGTCAAGTTCAGCCGCCGAATCTGGTTGTCCATCATGTTCAGCCGTGGCCGCCGCCGGTTCTCGCTCACCTTCATCCTCACGTCGACAACCACCGCTTGCTTCAGCCCAATCAGCCCAAAAATCATCCACCGTAGTATCAATGATAGTTTCATTCACAAAGCCAGGAAATTCCATTTTTGTAAGGTTGTTCTGCTGCGGGAAATAAAAAACGACGAAGAGGGGAGGGAGGGAAGGAGCTCCGGAAATAGAGGGGAGGGGAGGGAAAGAAATCGCACGTGAGGGAGGGGGTAAAAAAAAATGTAATTTTTGGGCCTATTTATAGTGTGTAGGTGTGTGTACCAAATGGTGTACCCCAAGCCCAATTGATAAGTAGTGTGTGTGTACAATTTTGTACACCTACGGAATATGCTTTGTATTAAAATCCGGAGTATCATCTGATAGACCGATAGCAATAACAGACACGTGCTCAGTTATAACGCGGTGGACTGCACGCAGCCACTTCTTATCATTACAGCAGTCATACCGTTTTTTTGAATGGTTAGGACAACGAATAATATAAAAAATAGGAGAGAAGGTGAAAAAGTAGTAAAAAGATGATAAAAAGTATAAAAAAGTAAGAATAATTAAGTATTTTTAAATGAAAAATTTACCAAAAAGAGAAATTGTAAATAATTTTTAAATACATCAAAAAAAGTGTAAGAAAGTTCTAAATGTGCAGGGAGTAATTTCTTTTTTCGCAAAAATAAATCTTTTGTGTTTTTTTTCTTGCAAAAGAAAATCTTGTGTGTTTTTAATTACTCCGTACTAGTTTCTCCCCCATCTTCTCCGTCAACATTTCACCTGAACAAATCTAATAATCTACAGTAATTCTTGCCCTAAGAATCATCAAGTACGATCAAGATAAGATTTCTTATTGTCCTAGAAACTCCACTCCACTCGAGTCAATATCACTTCTTTCAATGTCTCTGTGGCTCTGAATACAACAACTCCCGAACTAGCTCCCATTTCCATCAATGGCTGCCAGCTCCCGTAAAGGCAAGTTTTTTCTCTTCTGTTTGCTTATATCGTCTTCTTTCCTCCATATATCTTGGGTCTATTCTGACTCAGAGTCAGAACCCGAACCAGAATCATTCCCTGTGATTGAGAAAGATAATGGAATTCAAGAGACGTATAAATCAACACCTGATGCTTTATTAGAGGTGTTAGCTAGACACCAAGAACAGTTAAATAAGCTCGAGGGGTTAGTGAAGGATCTAAGTAATATAGTTGGTAGGTTGGAATCGAAATCAAGATTCTCGGATTACCCAGATATTAGAAAGCCAGATACTGCAAAACCCATTGTTGGAAACCTTCCAAAAGATGTAATTGAAGAGAAATATGATGGGAAGGTGGAGGGTATTAGTGTTGGTGATTCTATCTTGGAGAAACCTGGGGATAAACAGCGAGCAGTTTCAGTTACAAAGTACAGCTCTTTTTGGTCTGACAGGTTCCAATTCGTTTCTGCTGTGAGAGTGGATTCAGATCCTACTTGTATTAACGTCCTGCCATTCAAAGATTTCGATGGGTTGAGCAAGTATATCGCGGTTGGAGATTCTCAGGGTCAAATATATGTTTTTTCAAGGAATGGGGATGTTTCTGCAGAGTTTAAAACATCATTGGACTCCCCAATCACTGCTCTTGCCTCATTCTTGACGCTTTACAAGAATGAGAGTGTTTTAGTTACTGGCCATAAGAATGGTGTGGTTTTGAAGCATAGAGTGTGTGAGGTGGTGCAGAACGGGGAGGAGTGGCCTATGCTTCATATAGAAACTGTTGGGAAGTTCGATTCACCCGAATCCGGGGAAGGTGGATCGTCAATCACTAATTTGGAAGTGCATCATATGGGGAGGAACAGGTTTGTGTTGTCAATAGATTTTGACGGGAATCTTAGGGTTTTTAGGGCAAATGGGTCAGTTTATGGCTTGGTAGTGCCTAAAAGCAGACCACTCGCCTTCTTGAAGCAAAGGCTTTTGTTCCTAACCGAAACGGGTGCCGGGTCATTGGACTTGAGGACAATGAGGATTAGGGAGTCTGAATGTGAAGGCTTAAACAACTCCTTAGCTAAAACCTATGTTTTCGATGCCATTGAATGGTCAAAAGCATATGGCTTTACTTCTGAAGGAGAAATGATTCACGTTCTCCTGTTGGGTGATATAATCAACTTCAAGTGCCGTGTAAGATCCAAAAAGAAGCTGGAAACAGGCATGGAAGGGCCTCTCACATTTCAGGCAATCAAAGGGTATTTGCTCATCTCCAATGTGGAGAAGGTTTGGGTATACAATGTGTCCTCTCAGCATTACGTTCGAGCTGGTGTGCCCAAACTCGTTTTCTCTGCAGGTCTTGATGAGGTCGCAAGTTCATTTCTTAATCACCAATCTGATGGTTTGAATCAAAAGAAGAAAATGCTGATTCCGCTTCTAGCTAGTGATCGGGAAAAGCTTGTTGTACTCGGGACAAGAAGTGGTTATATAGGAATTTACCGTTCTAATCTTCCCATTTTCAAGAACGAATTTAACACCATGCTATGGGCAAGTCCTGTGTTGCTCTTCATCCTTTTCCTTTTCGGTGCCTGGCATTTTTTTGCCAATAAAAAGGAAGCACTGACATCTTGGGGCCCGGATGACCACTTCAGCTCTACTACCTCGGTTACGGATGGAGCACAGCTGGGCTCAGATATAATGGACCTAAGGAACAACAGTTTAAGAGGTTCGGGTCCAGCGGGAAGGTTTGGGTCTCAATTGCAATATCAAAATCCGAGACCATCTTCTGTTGATCAGAATTTCAGAGCAGCCCAGGAATTGAAATATAGGGGTGGAAATCTTGACACTTCTGCTTTCCCTAAAAGAAGGGATGGCCTGTTTGTCAACAGTCCCGTTGTCGATGATAGCTAGAAGTTGTGATATATGAAATATATGGGCGGTCTGGATAACAAATAGAAGGCACATTTCGTTCGGGAACTACGGCTGAGCAGAACTCTTAATATGTATACTTTTACAGTTTGGGAAGGAATAGAATAAAGGCATTTTGGGCATCTCTCTCGACTGTCTTGAAGTTCCTAACCAGTTTTCCTTACAATTTTCCTATTTGTCCTTCCTTATTCACTTATGAAATTTACACTAGTTTTACCGATTGCAATGGTGAGTGTTGTATGAATATTTTGTGCAATATAATGAAGGGCGTATACGAAAGCATTTGTTATGAGAAAGTAAATAAATTTCTGTGTGAACTGTTAGGATATTTGGGTGGAAAAAAGTGTCTTGGTTTGGCGTCTCAACTTTTTAGCCAAAATGTAAAAATAAAGAAAAGCTTTAGGGGGCGTTTGTTACGATGCAAAGTAATCATTTTACGTGTAAAATGTAGGGATGCAAACAATTTATATCGTTTGGTAGGATTATTCAATGTAAACTGTAGGTACTATTTTAAAATATTTTGCACTGTACCATGTAAAATACTTTACGTGGGGAGGGTGGTAAACTATTTTACATTCTCAATATAAATTGATCAAAATAAAATTTTACAATCCTATGCCGACCGACCGTTTTTTCACGATGGACCTTGCTCATCATTTCTTCACTGCGGCGGCAGCACTGTTCTGCTCTTCATCAACACACAGTTTGATGCCAAATTTATATTATTCAACTTCATGAGTAATATAGCTCCCATACCCTTTTTAATGAATGTTCAAGGCAGTAAAAGCATCGCTAGAAGGAAGAACGTTTTACGAAGCACAAGCAATTCCCACCTTAAATCCCCACCTTATATTAGAAAAATTAAGTTACATTAGCTCCATCTGATCTCAGCTCCATTTCCATTGGATAGGCAATAAATCTTCTTCTAGTTTTCTTCTGAGAATGACTCACGAAGTATAAGTAGGGGTGGACTGGTTCCGGTTCGGGCCCGGCCGGGCCTCGGTTCAG